CATTTTAATAATTACTTGGGCATGGTGGTGTACATCTGTGACCCCATTATTTAAAGGCCAAGACAAGACATTCCACATTTGGATTCCTTCTGGAAAATGGAACCATACCTCAAAAAATTAAAAAAGGGTGAGGGATAGGATGTAGTGTGCCTGGTTTTAACCCCAGTGTAGTGCAAAGATAATGAGACTGGACACACTGCACTGGTAATTAACACTGCATATCTGAAAGTCCTGCTTAATATTTAGAGCTGACCTCACCTAGAAAAGAGATCAACTATCTTCTTGGCCCCATCAATGCACTAGGTCTATTAGGACAGTGGGTTGCAAACTACTCTCTTGATTCTTTTAGTCAGGGTAATCAGAGTCATGCACCAACTGAGTTTCACTTGACTGCTTTGCCTTTCTTCAGCCTTACATACTATGATGAAAACTAGCCCAAGTGGAACACTCAACACTGCCAGCCAACTCACTGAGACTTGCCATCTCACTCCCCCTTTGATTCTTAGCTCTTTCATCTTTATTTTTAGGGCAATAATTGGTGTATTTATTTTAGATGTTCACACCAGGGCACAGAATAGCACAAAAGCCATGCAATGTTACTGAAAAAGAGTATTAAAAGAATGTAAGTTCAGGAGGTCAGTTGTGTCTGATTAAGCACATCCTCACACTCCACCTATGCAGACAGCACTGTGGAGCAGACTGCAAGCCAGAGAACTGAAGGGATACATACTCCTTCCTGCTCCGCGTGAGCAAGGAGCACCTCGTAATTACATCTAGACTAGCCTAGCTGCAGGGCTCAGGCTTCACCTCAGTTCTCCCAGGATATGGAGTCAGGTGTTTGCACCAAGCCTGAATTGTTTCTTGGGTCAGAAATTCACTGCATCTTGCTAACATAGGTACAGGGCTTGAAAGGGAAAAAAAAAAGTTCATCAGTTTTACTGGGAAAGGGAAAATGAGCCAGCAAAATACACACTAAGTACCTATTCACACAAGAAATGCTCACCTGACCTTTCCTGCTGATGGCGTAACCATGACTCCTACACCTACACTCCTAAAGGAAGATTAACCGAGGAAACAAATGACAAAGTAAAGAATTCCAGTCATTTAAACGTCTACCCTGGGCTCATGAAATGGCAAGGAATACGGCAGAAGCTGGCTGCCAGTCTTTACTGTCCGGACACTGAAAGATGACTGCGAGTGCAGCTGTCAGCTCTGTACTCCTTAATTCTGAGACTCCCTTTCTCCCACTGCCTTTCAAGGCCTCAAAAGAACCTTCATCTGTACCTAAAATGGCAGACAATGCAGTGGAAAAACTTCACAAATGTAACACCGTCATAGGTGGTCTTCTACTGCTTTCTTTTGGCTATGCCAAAACAAATTCCTAAAATGTCCCACCTGTGACGCTGGTTTCTGAACCTCTTGGAAACGTATCTATAGAGAAATGTAAGTTTAAACAAAAAATGGTAAGGGGCTAGGGAGATAGCAGTCTAAGAGCCTGCAGGGCAAGTGCAAAGTCCTGAGTTCAATCCCTGGTACAAAGAAAAAAATACAAAGGGATTCAATTACTTGGGGCTTTTCGTGTCTTGAAACTATAAAATTACCTGTTATATTGTCTGCTGTGTTCTTCCTCTCCAGTGTAGTAAAAATTCAGTTTAACTTGCAACTCAAAAATCCTAGATATAAAGAATGTTTACATTTATTGTTGAAACTTGTAAATTATACTGTGCTTCATAGTTATAATACAACTCATATTATTGAACTTTTAAGATTTTTAACAAATATAAAACCTTGCTAGTTTAAATAAATATTTTCCTTCCATATTTCAATATCCAAATTGGGCAAAAAGCCAGATTGAGCTTTTATTTTTGGCAGAGTTTACAACTTTTTCCCCTGGTAAAAAGGTCATTTTAATTGTAAAATTATCATCTGATACACATGGGTCACAAAAGAATAAGCTTTTTACCTGAAGGTCTTTGTTCTTTTCAAGGTAGACACCCTCAATGCTAAAATCATTTACTGGAAATACAGACACATACATGATCATTCACTAAGACAAGCACTTAAGAGTGAATTAATTTTAACTCATGCATTTTGGTTTAATACCTAGTCTTTATAATTAGGCTAAAAAACCTGCCACTAAACATACTTTATATGTAACCTAAAACATGATTTGTCAGCTCAGGGTGCTCACTGGAATTGCTTACAGTTTGTCACAGACATACACTGGTGCTTGGATAAGCCTGGAATAACAAGTAGACCCAGGACCTCTTGTTTAATTGTGGAAGCATCAGTGTTTTTTTTTTTTTAATACCGTTTACTCTCTTCCAATTAATATACACTAGTGTGAAAGTTAAAACCTTACTAGTACCTAATGGTTTTATTTGCTAATTTGTTAACATTTCAATAAATTGTAACTGGAAGCTTTATATCACAAACAGTAGGTTCTATTATCCATTTAAAAATGTGAACTATCAAATTAAGGAAAAAAGATCATTCTTAGCAACTGTCAGCTGCCCTTATGTTGCCTACCACATACCAGATATTGTAGCTTTTTACAAGTATTAACTTATCCCTTAAAACCTAGAGGAACAGCTATTATTTTTATTCTACACAGACAAAACTGAGGTAGAGGACATTGCTAATAAATGAGGAGCGAGGATTTGAACAGCATTCTGGTTTTAGGACTCTTGGTCTTCCACTGTGTTCTGCTGGTCTCCCCACGTGCTATTTTTTTTTTCTTCCTGTGTTTTTTAGGGAAGGGTCTACAGGGTGTTCAGGGTCTCACTGCATAGATCACACTCGTAGTGATTCTCCTGTTTACAGCCTCCCAAGTGCTGAGATTACAGGTGTGTGCCACCACGCCCAGTCTCAATCGCTGTCTCAGCCATGACCCAGGGGTGGGGCTGGCACAGCAGGCCCAGGGATGGGAACTCCGGGCCCCCTGCGCCTGCTTGCAGGTGCTTTAATCCACTGAGCTACTTGGCTGGCTCTCCACATGGTAACTAAAACAGCATTTGTTATCTGTGATACTATTAGATTTCTGTTCACTAATTCTTGTGGTTAGAACTGAAATGGTGAATAAAATACTGGATTTGAGAAGACATACAAAATCACTATACTTAGGAGTCGTGAATCAGTATTCTACATTTCCATCTGTCAGTTTCAGAACTTCAGGTCATCTTTTTTTTTTACAACATTCCGGGAACTATACAATTTTTGACAAAGCTTTAAGGATAGAGCTGCGCATTGGCTTAGAATATGGAGCGCTTAACCACCTTTGTAAACTACTACAAGTAGTATGCTTCCTGTTAAGCATCTTTTCATGTCAGCATAAACCCTAACAAATATAGACTGAAATCACTAGCAATCTAAGGGGTCACACTGACATCTCGGACATAAAGGTTCCTGATCTCATACTGTGTTTCCCATTTATTTTTTGTATTTTAGTACAGAGTCCATAGAGTCTCACTACAGATTGGGTTTATAGTGACTTTCCCGTTTTCAGCCTCCCAAGTGCTGGGATTACAGGTATGCGCCACCACACCCAGTCTCAATTCAGGGTGCCCTGAGGGTGGAGCCAGCAGCACAGCACACCAGGGTCCCTGTGTCTACCTAAGCAGGTGCTTTAGTCCACTGAGCTATCTGGCTGGCCCTTTATGCTTCCTATTTTGAAATAAACGTTTGTGTTGGTATCGTCATTTATTTCTCCTACTACAAAGGCCTGCAGTAAAGTTACCATGCAGAAAAGTTACCATGACTATGGAGTCAAAGGAGGGTAACTCTTACACAGTTACAGCACCTTGTCTATTCACATACCAGGTGAACTACTATCTTCAAAAAGACACTAAGACAACTCAATAAAAGCCATTTTCTGCACACAAGTTTTCAGGGTTTCTGTAATCCTTTTTCTACTATAATTTTCTGTTTTTTATTCTATGTGTTCCGGAAGAAAAATTGTGTTCTGGGCTAGGAGGAGGTGAAAGGCAAAGGGAAAGACAATTCTACCATTTACCATTGTCCTGATGTTTTAATTTACAAAAAAAAAAAAAGTTAAAATTTGTAAAATTAAAAATTTCCTTTTTAAGCAAAAATTTACCAACACCCCAATACATAGCAAAGGCTTTTAAAATGACTAGTCAGATAATTGGTTTCTTATACTTAATGTAAAGAATACTTAAGGATTTATTGAAAGCTTCATCACATAATGCTCTTCCACTGAAATTGTGCGCAAGCTGAAGGGTTAATCACTATACCAAAGCTCGCAGCTAAAGACTTCACTCACCCTTTCGTAACACACCCTGGAGATTTTTAAAAACACTTTATTTAATAAAAGTTAAACATACAAAACTGAAATTAACACACATCCTAAAAATCATCTTCCATTAACAGGAAGACCCTTTTCTATGCATGTATTTGGCTTAAACTCAACTTCGGATAACTGTGATGTCACACCAACAAATGCTGGCAACTTGATCTAGTAAATTAAAATCATAAACTCAGCTACGTGAACATAATATACAGGGAAATTATTGTCAGATTAATGCACAAGAAATACAAGAAATTTTTAATGATGAAACATTCAGTACTCTTGTTCATTAATTTAGCCTTTTTTTTTTTTTTTTATAAAAAAAAAGTATCTACACTGTATACAGGGCTATACATCAGCTTTTTGTTTTCCAATATAAACATTACACATCCAAAAAAAAAAAAAAAGTACCACTACCTTAGGTGAAAAAGAAAAAGCAAACATACAAGAAACAAACAAATCCACAAAACACCAAACAGAATCACCTTAACAAGGTAGCTCTTTCTAAACATGTTTTTCCACATAAAACTGAATAAAAAAACTGGATCAATTTCAGAGATGGCCTAATTGGCTTAGGAAACAAGTTATTGAAAGAAATACCTCAAAACAAACTTTGCCATTATAAAGTTACCTATCTTTAGGGCTATGGGTTTTTTTTTTTTGGGGGGGGGGGGGAAGTACCAGGGATCAAACTCAGGACCTTGCACTTGCCAGGCAGGTGATTCTGCCACTGAACTATCTCCCTGGCCCTCTTCAGGTTTACCTTGAGAGTAGTTAGATCTTAAAGTCAAAAACAAACTGAAAAAGATCTCTAACAGGTGGCTGGTGTTCACCTTCACGTTCCAATCAGTAATTGTATGTCAAATTCCAAGTTTTAACTGTGAATTGGGGCTTGGCATTAGTATATCAACAATTCACCTAAGTGCCAAATGAAGTAGCTTCCGTCTAGAAAAGTTGCCTTATTCAATAAACTCTGAGGGAACTATAGTAGTAGCAATGAAAAGTTAAATGAATAACAGTTTATCAAATGTAACTTCAAGTTTCATTCTATCGAAGTCAAACGATGACCACAATGGTATCTTCCTTACTCACCTAGCAAATAATTTACCTTTAGAAAAATATAGGGATAAAAAGGTAAATGTAAAGCCCTGCAGGGATGAAATCCAACAGTTTTTCTGATTACTGAGGCATCAAATGCCTGACATTGTATTTAGAAGTATCTTGATACTGCGTCATGGGTTTATCAGCAATTCCACAAGTTCCTACTCCAACTTTGCCAGTTACACTCTCGGGTGAGGCAAAAATACTCCTCTTTACCTGGCCTTTCTTATTCTTAGAATAGGCTCTGTTGTTGAACTGCTGCCACTTCACCTTCTGGTCTTCTCGTTCCTGCTCAAGTTCCTTTATCCT